CTTGGCTACCTCATCGATTTCCTCGATTTCACTTTCCAACCAAAATCCACTGTCCTGCCTGTAGCTTTGCTTGAATTCACAAACGAAAAGACAATTGGTTGCCTTCGAGGATGCAGTGGGGTGCTGTTGCATTTCTTCTAGCCTGATTCACTGTCTCTTTAAAACGACGTTGTGGAACAGTGTCTAAGAAGTCGGCTTTGAACTCCTGAGGAGTCAGTTTCGAATCGACCGAAGGAATAGTCCTCTTCTTTACAGCGAAATCCCTTGACCGACGAACTAATCCCTTGTTGCTTTGGCGTAACCAGCGGAGAAACGGATAGCAAGTCCGTGAATAGCAAATAATCAAGGCGGAATGGTATTTTGGCCTGGTCATGTCAGAATGGAGGAGGTGTTAAGCCATGCTGTCCAATGTGTCATGTCCAGTGACCCTTGTGCACTTCGCTTTGACCCACCTGATGGCTGACTATCCAATGCAATGATCAGATAACCTAGATTTCGATTTCGATAAGGAGTTCGCTGCAACTCAGGGCAAAATGGATATGCACTTCCTAATGTAACAAGCGTTTTCGCTGAGTTTCCTACACCTTCTTTTATACTTCGTCCATGTTGTCCCCTCCAAATTGGCCAATAAGGATGGTACTAAAATAATTCGATCATTTTTGGTAGTCGGACAGCACAAATTCGTCAATTGGAACTCGTCGATATCGAGAAGTTGGTGTATTTAAAGCAGACGGTGTCGATGTGACACTGCAAATTTAGACGAAGTTTCATTACAATCATACGGTGATCAGTGATCAGACAGAATCAAACAAAACACGCATGATGTGAGTCTTGAGTAATGAGCTACGCCATGTACGGTTGATGAGGGCGCAGTTCAGTTGGAATTTCAGGCATCCACAAGGGTACGCCTATGTAATCTGATGAATTCTCTTGTGACCGAATAAGATCTCACTGATGATTAGGCTGTTTTTCCCTCAAAAGCTGAACATGCGCGATAGTGTTTTTCGAGGTGTCAATTCCGTGATGGCTGAGCAAGCTTCGCCATGTGCTATAATCGGCACCGACCATTCGCGCAAGGTCATCCGTGACAATTGTGATGGCATGACACTGCAAAGTGACACATGCAGACACAGAAACAGCTGCAAAGGTCAAAGTAAGATCTTACGGTCAGGGCGAGGTACTACGAAGAATACTTTCTTTTGCCATTAGAATGGACCTAAGCTTTTAAGATATGGACCAATTAAGCCATCGCACAAGGGAGTTGACAGATCTCTTCATGCTTTTCATATAAGCCTACCTGTGACTAAACAGTATTCTGAACATATCCAAAGGTGAGCAAATCCAGCAGGCAGATGAAACACGGGTGGGGATTGGTTGTTATCTGTGAGGTTGGTTCATTTCGCTGCTCTCAGTTATGACACACTCATCTGTTATAGCGCTCCCACTATGGGTGATCGGTGATATATCGATTCGTTATTCGTCTGCTTTATGCTTAGTATCCTGCCTTCTTGAACTCGCCAACTCGCTCACTCAACCTTGCAGCACGACAGCCGAGAAGAACTCCTAGCTCTGGAAAGGGATGCAGTGACATAGAAGCTGGACAGCCTCTGGAAAACGTTGTACACATCGGATGTTCAGCGATGTTACAACGGCGACGATGGTGTGGCAGTTAGTCATCTCGGCGTGCGATGACACATGTCATTTACAACATTTCTGTCGGCGAACAGTCGATTCATTGTCCACAAGACTGATGAAATAGAGTCGCAGCTGTTCACGTCTTAGTTTCCCAATTCTTACGCAGTTCTGCTGCAGGAAACTTGACTTTAAAAAGAAACCGACAATGCAATTTTTGATGTTGAAAAATGTTTGCACCAACAGAATAAGCACTACAAAATTAGAGCTGGCGGTGTTGCGATTTGAATCAGCAAGGAATGGTACGACGGTCAGTCAGTTAGTCCAATATTTAGTTTGTCTTGTGACTATTCAATGCATTGTCGTTCGGTGCAACCCCAGGCTACGAATGTCAACTTGTAACTCCGCTGTCATGTGCAATATTTATACCACCCTTGATTTCAGAAACGCAAAATATCAGTCATTTCTCGAAAGTCTTACGCTAATACTCTGGAAAGTGACCGTCATTAATCGTCACCGACGACCTTAGTCGCCATGACACATTTTTCGCTTGTGACGTAATACTACCTCGTGGACGTCTGCCTCACGAACGCTCCGAAAGCTTATCGCATTCGTAGCGTTGCGCCACTAGGGCTAGCTGACCACTGCTCTATTCGAGTCTTTCCAACGGTATGTACGGATAAATCAATTCGAAACATCTACTCAGAACAGCAACTGTAGATGGAGTAGATGAACAGTTCATTAAGAGAGCCTTAGACATCTCAGAAGCATCATGGAGAGCTTGCCATGGGAACAGCTGTATGATGACTACATGAGTACGCAAGTTACTATTCTATCTAGATATTTAACTTATGTTAATGATATCTGCTGCTCGGTTCAACAGATTTTCGTCAAATGCCAGTTCGTCACCTTGTAGTTGATAAATCAACTGTAGAGAATGAAAGAGCGTGCCTTCAAAGCAAATGACAGGTTTGCTTTAAAACGGTTGCACATTTAACTTAAAGACGAAATTTTTCGATTGAATTTGCTTGTCATTCTGCATTGGGCTTCTGAATAAAAATGATCTAAAAGACCTCTGGAATGGGCTGAAATATCTGTGCAACTGTGGAACACGGAATTTCGAAAAATGCAGCAACCCTAATGACTTAATCGACTATTTTTGACAACTCGAGGATGTAGAATCATCATCAGGCTAGCTGAAGCTCGCGTTGTTCCATCGGATACGGTATGCCAATTTATCTTCTCATCCGAGGTGCTGACTTGTTTCCAGAGTCTTCTAGCTCACTTGGCTTCAGAACCAGACGATGTACCAATGACTTGCTCAAACCTTATACTGTTTCGCTATCTCCAGTGTTCACCAATTTCTTTAGTCGAGGCTTACAGACCGCGCGCAAATAAAAAAAGTAATGAGATACCCAAACAGCGCAGGGGAAACGAATGTTGTGAAGAAGTTCTGCGGTTTAAATACTTCGGCACCACTATTTCGAACGATTCTAGATGTGATCAGAATTTAAGCAGGAAAGTTGCAAAAACTTCTTTCACTTCCTAAAGAAGCACCTGGGCTGAAAAGGGCGATGGAAATGACGATCTCTACTAAAATTCGTCTTTCTCGTGCAGCTGTCAGACCGACTTTGCCAATAAACCTTTCACCAGATCATGCAAACACCGACTGAACAGCCTCCAATTGCGCTGCTTAAGACGCATGCAAGACATCAGATAGTACTACCGTTTCAGAAGCGATCACGCTCTTGTATCGGCACTATGGAAATATTGGAGAAGTTCGACAGCAGAAGGTAGGCACGGCTCATTCATCTGCAGGGAAACAGCCGAAACCTACTGGCTTTCCAGCTAGCGCTGAAATCGCATTGACAAGAAGTCAAAGGAAAATGAATTTTTGTCATGAACGTGAACGCATTGATCCTTAGTCGATGGGAGATTTACTTCAGTGCCAGTGGCCTTGTTTACTGCAGTCATGCGATGACAGAAACGCAACCGCACTGGTGGCGGTTGATTCTTTTCAACGCTTATTTTTTGCATTTGTCGAACTTTCAGCTAACATGGCAAGAATGAACTGCATGAAGTCTGCCTCGTTGTTGAATGTGACCACTGGTTTCAATAAGTGGTCTTATAATAGAGCGAGGTGAGAGGAGCATGTTCATAGTATGCAATCTCACATGAACCTGAAAATGGTCGACCAGTAAAATATTCATAATTGGAGGCGACCATATGCAGGCGACTTGTTTTAGAAAAGGACGTGACGACAGCAAGTCTGAACGACAGAAATGAAGACCGGGTAACTCCTCATTGATCCATTATGTGAACCTGAGCAAATTATGCCGTTTATGCCTTGGTCAATGATCGGCATTATTCAACTCAGTTGCAAAGACTACTGAACGTCTAAATAGAGGCTGAAGAATGTCCAAACAAGCAAGTCAATATCTGCTGGTCGTATACTACGAATCAGTCGCCACCATGTCATGTGGCTTCAATATAATTCCTTCTCAAATGCAAACGAACGGTTCCTGTACAAACGTTGTTATTGCATTATCCTTTCAATTTCTGGGAGCTGGTTATAGAACAGGTAGAAGCAAACCGTTCGATTGAATTGGAACTTTTTTCAGAGGCCTTCTCTTCATCTACGTTTTGTTCAATATAATGTACAAGGCGCAGGAGTTCCTTCAGTTTCATGAAGTGATTCATTGGTGACTCATTTCTCCGGAAGCGGAAAGCCCGTTTCCGAGCAAGTTGTTCATGGCATTTCGAACTGATCCGGCTGTACAAAGTTCGGAGTAGGTGAATGAATTAATTGTAGCGTAAAAATCGAACTTCGATTATTTGCAAAATGTCAGCTACGGGAGCCTTGTCGTAGCGATTGCTTGGCAAGATCCGCAGGGTGAAAAGACAAATTGCAACTAAGCGAAAACAGGCATCTTGTCACGAAAGAAAAAATTAAGACTTAACTGAATCAGGTGTTCGAAACGGCTTGCCAGCTGTAAGGGTGTGACAAACAGCCCGGTCGCTAGATCTACAGATTCGCACAGTCTGCTGATTACTATCCGACTTGATTGCTTGCTGATTGGTTGGAGATATTTGAAATGGACAAACAGAATCTGACAAAAGCTGACCGTTTTGTCGAGTTGGCCACCACATCCGCTCCGGCTAGGCGAAACTCATCGCTGGTTCGTCTATAATTGGAGTGCGAAAAAAGCGAGTGACAAGTAGGATCTTGTTGACGACTTAGACGACGTCCACCACACAATGGTTATGAGCTCTGTGACAGGGGCTGTTCTTCTAGCAACCATCCGATATGAAAGAGGGCTACAATTGCGATCAGTCGTTTCATCGTCATAACTAAGTAGGTGCATCGCAGAATTCACGATAGATTCAATTCGAAGGTTATTCATCAGGTGGCCTTGAAAGATGTCCGGCAACCTAACATCACTGCCGAAGTACCAACCAACCGGCTGACGCGACACAAATCTGTTGAATCGATTTATGAA